AAAAAAGAAATTTTTTTTGTTTTGTTAAAAAGGAAAAAAAAAAATTAAAAAGGGGGGGATGGAAAAAAAATTTTAGAAAAAAAATTAAAAAAGGGAAAAAGAATTTAAAAGGTTTTTTTTTTTTTTTAAATAGGGATTGGGGTTTTAAAAGGGAATTTTTGGGAAATTTTGGTGTGTTGAGGGGGGGGGGATTTTTTTGGGGTTTAAAAAGGTGGGTTTTGGGGAGATAAAAGGGGGGGGTAAATTTTTTTTGGGGGGGGTTGGGGGGTTTTTTTTTTGGGGGGGGGGGGGTTGTTTTTTGGGAAATTTTTAAAGGGGGTTTTTTTTTTTTTTTTAAAGGTTTTGGGGGGGAAATGGGGGGGGGGGGGGGGGGGGGGGGGGGCGTGCTCATGTTTTGCAGCACTCTCTTCCGCCAGAGTGTACACACGAACGAGCGCTTTCCACGATCGAAGTGAGAGAAAAAAACTCACTTCGCAAGAAAAAGCTCGCTTTCGCCGGGATTCGAACCCGTGACCCTGGCAACTAAAAGCTAGGGGGATACCAACTAGACTACCCATATGTGGCATGCACCACCAAGGTCTGGCTACGTCTGGCTCGCTTGCCTAATCGAAACTGAGCCGTCGCACGGTTGGACAGGTAGATGTCCTCCTGGTCCGATCCGGGGTGAGTCTTGAGGGCGAGGTCGAAGCAGCTAGTGGCCGTCCCGTAGTCCCGAACGGCCAGGTAAGCGTTTCCTGTTCGTTTTTTTTCATGAGTAATTGCCATCGAAGAGGGGTGGGTATCGGTCGGGAGAAATGCCGTCAATGCCCAGCGACACGTATTCGGAAAGCTTTCGATGAGATGTCACCAACGCTGCCCTCTTGTTGCACCAATACTCCAATATTGCTTCTGGCGGCCTCTTCTGAGGCTTCCTTCTGAGGGGCACGCAGGAGTTTCGTCGGTGCACTACCCCCGCGCGTCCGGAGCTCGCTAGGCAACCCGCCGTGGCACATGTGGTGCTCGACCACATCAAGTCAAAGGGACCTGGCAGTTCGTACCGGACGGGGGGGGGGGGTACTCTTGTGTTTTGCATGCCTCAGGGATTAAACCATTGACCACGCGTCCTCCAGAGGACGGAGCATTGTTCCCACAGGACCGATCCCCGAGGGCCCTTTTTCCCAGGGGGGGGGGGGGGGGTACTCATAGTCGTGCATGCCGTAGTCGTTAGACCATTGACCTCGCATCCCTACAAAGCCGGGACGGAGCACGCCGGGTTCTCACCGAACCAGGCTCTCACATCGCCAAGCGCGAAGCACCGAGAGGTATGCGGCGAGTCGCGTGAAGGGTGCGCTGCATCCTGCTAAGGGTGTTCGGCATCTTGTGCTTACTTCCTTGTACGGATGACAGCTCTGCGTATAATCTAATCTGCGTGCAATCTTACCGGGGGGGGGGGGGGATTTTCCCCCAAAAAAAAACCCGGGGAACCCATGATTGAAATTTTTAAATTAGGGTTGGGGAAGTTCAACTCCCGTTGAAACTGAAGCTATAATAGCTGTCCAACAGCAAATAAAATGTATCTTTGCTAATAAATACATGTGTTGCAACGGTCACGACCGAAACACCGTCGTTGGTCAACCTCTTCCATCCGCGGTCCCATGATATTCAACATGTGTCATGACCACAAACTACTGTGGTACCGTTAAGGGATATATGGCAGAACGCGAGCTTTGATGTTGACAATTTTTGGAAACAAACGCAAGAGCACCAGAATGGCACACGAGAGACACAAGACCAGTCGGAGGGCATCGCGAACAACAGAAAGCGTGATTCTCGCACAGGGCGGCAGTAGAGGCTTCTCAAAACATACATCAAGCGTCTACCTCCACACGCCTCCACTGAAATCAAGATAAATCCACCCTATTCTAAATTCGAGTCAAAAGAGCCAAAACGGCAGGCGCTCAAATAAGCTCTGTGTGTTGCCAAGAATGGGGTGCATAGTACTTGTATCACTAGAGGACATTCTACAAAATATCAGCGGGGGGTGCGTGTTGGCGCGCTCAAATCTGCTGCTTCTGTGGTGGTGATATCGAGGGTCGTAGTAGCGGCCTACGCTGTACAATCTTCGCAAATCTCCGTAAATGAGACCGACACCCAGTGTCTTCTACTGCTTGTGCTCGCCGCCACTGACCCCAATCTCCTGAACTGCGGGTTTAGCTACAGCTTACAGCAGAAGCTGATGCCACTATTGTAGCTACTGCTGACACCGTTCAGGGGTTTACGGTCCGTGGCGGTGAGCACGGCTGTGACAAAGGTTGGATGCCGCTTGGTTCCGTCGCAGATTTCGGACTGTTTTCGAGGCTGCCGCGACCTTCGATATAGTAGCAAACCTGAACGTGCCAGCCCGCACGACGCCGCACACACGCCACCTCTTGATGGTGTCCTCTACTGATATTTAGAGTACTTATTACCAGGTTCCTCAGACGGGAAGTTTCTTTCTGTTACGTTGGAAGAAAGAGCCAGCGTCAAAATTCCTATTCTGCCTCGATACGTTTGCCTTTTCGTCTTCAAGTCTTGAAGCACCCCCGGGAGGACCGAAACCCATGACCGCCCGGAAGGGGAACTAACGTTACACGACTGATGATCATCTCTCGCGTTCAAATAACACACGTTTCCCGAACGTGCGGTATCTGCCAACGGTAAAGTAACGGAAATTGCGTAATTGCACTTCACAGCAGCAATACTGCTATACCATAAGAAAATAATGTCGAGCGGTAATGTGACCGCGTTTGGTCCACGTCTGAAAGCCTACCCCTTCGAGAGAGTGGTATAGGTGCAGTCTTTCCAACACAAGTGAGGGTTGAGGGAAACCAGCCTGATACCGACCGCTTTGTAGGAGAGCACTCTTGTTAGGGTCGGTCTTAACGAAGAAATCATATGTCGAAATCACATTTCGATCTAAGAATAAAAGAGTCGGATCTACCCAAATCCGGACAGAAATGGCCTGTGCGTCTTAACGGGAGATCTGCCAAATGGAAACGAATCTCTGCATCTCTGCAATCCACCGCGAACAACCCCAGAGGTCCGCCGCTTGCCAACTGCCAGATTGCTGTTGTGACGTACTGTTACGACGTGGCCACACCACATGGGGAGCTATCGCTCCCGACAAGCATGCACCAAACGCGTACATGGCCTCTGTGCCGTACTGACTCGATGCCTATATGCATATAAGAGTTTGAATCGAGCCTCGTCCGACGGAAAGCCGCCAATTCGTCTGTGCATTTGAAGTTCGACAACCCACGGGAGACTGCCCCACAGACCAACACATCCCACGCACGTTTTTTTCGGCACCAGTCACATGCAACAACTATGCGCAGTCACCCTCCCTTTGGGTTGGCTTTTTGTGCTCTCTCTCTTTCCTCTGTGCTCGGCGGTGGATGGAGTTCGTGTGGATGGGGGTAGGTGGGCACGCGCCGTGCATGCGAGTAGACCGTGGTTATGCAACTATGGACGCTGTTCACCCAAATCGGGATCCAATTATTAAATGATTTCACCTTTTTCAAATCCCGGTTCCATAACATTTCAGCCAATCAACGAAAGAGTTAGGTGGATATTCCGGTCTTGACCAATCTGAATGTGATTTCGAGATGTGATTTGTTCCTTGAGACCGACCCTTACCGCCAGATCCAACGTGCTGCCGCCTACAACGTAGACAATGATCGGTCGTTTTCACGAACATTTCGCACTATTTAAAAGGGACAAACGACAAACGCTTCTTGCAGCGCGAGTACACGCCAGCCCGACACATGTGCTGCACGGTTAACACCGCACGCGCCTTCCAGTGGTATCAAATGAATACAATATACAGCTGGCTGGTGTTGCACAACAGGTTGGGTGCAGTCAACGTCCGAGCCAACCGATGTTCAAAAATCGGATTTTCGATCCTGTAAGCGGCGACCCATCTATACTACATACTGTAGCCCCCACCAATGTATGCACACCAGGCGTACACAACGACTTGTTACCGCCAGATCCAACGTGCTGCCGCCTACAACGTAGAGAATGATCGGTCGTTTTCACGAACATTTCGCACTATTTAATAGGGACAAGCTTCTTGCAGCGCGAGTACACGCCAGCCCGACATGTGCTGCACGGTTAACACCGCACGCGCCTTCCAGTGGTATCAAATGAATACAATATAGCTGGCTGGTGTTGCACAACAGGTTGGGCGCAGTCAACGTCCGTGCCAGCCGATGTTCCGTGTTCAAAAGTCGGATTTTCCATCCTGTAAGCGGCGACCCATCCATACTACATAGCCCCCACCAGTACAATGAATGTATGCACAACAGGCGTACACAACGACAAGAGAGTGAAAAAAACAAAAAAACGAGCCTCCTTGTTGCCGCCCGTCTCCACTTGTGCACAATGCACGAGGCGGCGCCTCCCCGCACAGCGGTACGCCGATTTATTGCTGTATATTGTACAGATATACAGCAAGCAGTAGCACTCTTCAGCTCTCATGCAGACTAACACAGCCCCGCCCCGCCGTCTCTCAACCAAACAAAAACTGAATCAACTCTCACCCCACAGAAATATCTCCGAGGTAAAAGAAGTCTTGCATTAATAGCAGCCGCTTGTGTGTCTCAAGTCCCCAGACAATCATCCGGGCACCGGAATACTGCTGTCTGCGGTCTGCGGTAGCGCGATACATGTATGCCATGCACACGTTTCAGCACGGTGGTGCTCGCCCGGCATGTGTGTCAAATAACTCCGCCCGGCAAACTGGGGCACGGAAGTTCGAAAAAAAGAGCAAAAAAAAAGAGGATGATGCGAAGTTGGGTGGTACCCAAAGAGAGTGATTGCTGCCTCGTCCGTCGTATCGTATCCGTACCGAGGAGCACCCGTCCTTGTGTATCAAGATCTATCGGCTCTGCACATGCCTCTGCTCTCCGCATGCGTGCCGAGATCGGAATGTGCCAAAGAGGCTCGGACGCTCATCCCCGCAACAGAACATATTTGGCTGCACACTACCGCATTTTTTTTTTTTTGTCTTCACTTCAAATCAGCGCCCACAGCACTAATAATAGTGCCGTTTACTCCAACCTGTTGTAACACAGAAGAGCCCCTCTCTACCCTCCCCTCCTGCGGTACTCGGTACTTTGCCTTCGATTTTGAATGCGAGAAGAGTTCAGCACTCTCTTCCCTCTGTGTACACACGAACTAGCGCTATCCACTAGGCCAGGAGCGGAAGCGAGAGAAAAACCCACTTTGCAAGAAAAGCTCGCTTACGCCGGGATTCGAACCCCTGACCTGATCTGTATGCACAGAAGGTTTCGAGGTACCAACTAGACCACCGGGGCGAGATGTATGCATTTTCAGTTTCGCATCTGCTTGCTTCATCGATCGTGCTACAGATGCTACAACATGCAACGCGCGCTCACGGCCACACCTTTGCTGTTCCACCTGTCCGCCTCTGCCTGAGTGTCGCCCACGTCCTCCGTCATCCCCATGGGAACCTCTCCCTCATGCGTGCCCATCGCCACACAGCAGCACAAAGCTCCTCACTCTCTCTCTCTCACAAGCGCACGGACGGACTGCCCGGTGTTCGGCCGATGCTCTGCCGTCACGGAACCTTGCCAGCCCAAAGAAATAAACCCCTTGTGCTTCCCCCCTCGCGCCTCGTGGTGTGTCTTGGGGGAGAGCTCAGCCCGTTCGCCAGCAGCCCGTTCCACCGAAGGCTCGCTCCCTCTCTATCACCCCTCAACACTCAATTTGGACGGGGCGCGGTAGGGATGAATATGGCAGCGGAGACCTGCAAAAATATCGCCGGATCTTTCATCGGCAGAACATATTCACATTCGCATGAGCATCGTAGATTGCGTAGATACACATAATAAGCTGCCGTGAATAGGCCGGACGCCCGACGCCAGGATATTTGCTCCTTCCATGGTTGTTTGCCACAGCTTCGCAGCGCTGCACACTGCACACCCAAACAACTGCCGTGTAGCTCAGCTCGTGCGAGTGTCATGATCTACACTACACATGACACGCTACTGCTGTACCCCTGTTTTCGGCGCCGACCACATACCATAAAATGGTTAGTAGTCCGTCTGGTGGTGGCTTTAGTTATTTCCGACGCTCGTTGCTCTGCGTCCCTCATCGCTGTGCTCGATACAATCCATGTAGTCTCCAAACTTGTACAGAATAGACCTGGTTCATATGCATACCAACCATACATTCCATACTAATAACAGGAAAGCAAGTCTGCTGTAGGTACAGCAGTAGTGGGTAGGGTTGTGTTTAGTGTGTTGTCTCTCGACAGCGCCAATCACTTTGGCTGGAAAAAAAACGGAGCGGCGCAACAAAAGAAAGCTCCAGTAGACTAGACTACATTTCGTGATTACGTAGAAACGACGGGTGAGTGCCGGGCGCCGATCTCGCGTATACAGCTCAGTGATGCCACACGAGTTGCTTTCACCCCCGCCCCGCACCAAGTTAACCTGTGACCACGGGAATCGACCGCGTCGAGTGTTGGATCAGTACGGACATACGAAGATACTGGGTAGAGAAAGATCGGAACGGTTTTTAATGTGAAGACAACAAGAACAACAACCCCGCACCACATGATGGAAAAAATCACCCGGACAGAGAAACTCTCATATTGAACCCTCAATACTGCTTATTATGTAAAATCGCGGAGAGACAACGACTAGACTACAGACAATTGTAAACGCCGAGAGACATAAACGACTACAGCTGTAGACGAGACTATGTTGTAGACTACATACATTTTTCACATAATCGACCTAATGCTGTATTACATACAGTTAGCGCCCGCAATTAAGAAACGCTTATTTCAGGTCCAGCCTCGAATTCTTATTGTGGGCTATAAACTCAGCGTATGTCGTTCAGTTTCTTATATAATGTTTTTTCTTATATAGTGTTTTTTCTTATTTTTTCGTGCAGCCAAATCCTGCTGAATTTCTTCAATCGGCATTTATTTAATTAAGGGATAATAAAAACACACACAGAAAGACTACCCATTCGAGATATACCCACAGTCGAGCGGGATGTGGTGGAGTCTTTTCAGTGAGTGGAGGGAATGGCTGGGTACTGGACTTATTTCGAGTCTTTTTAAGTCTATACACTGATGATTTATACCAGTGATGCCAGCTGGTGCTAAGTACAAAAACATCTGTAAAGGTATTTCGTATTTCTCTGCTTTCCTCGCCTCCCGTACTCAACCCCGATTCTCACTACCGACGGCTGCACGTAAGGCCACTCCCTAGAAGCGAAATAAATGTATTCAACGGCAACGTCTTGCTATCGCTACAAGGTCTTGTACCCCCCTCATGAGTGAGGGCTGAAACTAAACAAATGCATTAACACCGCATGATGCCTCACCCGCACGCTGACATGCCAACAACGAAAATCAGAGCTTTAGCGCCAGCAGAGCAGAGCGCAGAGCCCGCAGGGGGCCGGAGGGGGCGCCGCAAAAAAAACACTCCCCCCTCGGCGTACAACTAATAATAATGCACTATGGGAGGGGGGGAGGGTAGGGGGAGAGGGGGAAAGAGCGAGAGAGCTGTGGGGTTTGTTTCTTATTCGACACACTCCCCCGTAACCCCTCGTTTCTTATGTAGTAGGGCAGCGGTCGCTGCTGTGTTTCTTATTGAGATATTTCTTACTTGTGTGACTCAGATTGAGCAATGTTTCTTAACCCTATTTTCTTATTTTTCGTGAAAAAGTGAGCCTCATTTTCTTAACAAAATATTTCTTAATTGCGGGCGCCAACTGTACACACACGTACACCGACAGCAACAATGACATCGACGACGGCGACGACGACGGCGACGGAGAGAACACGATCTTTTACAAGTACAATTAATTGCAGTGTAGGGTATCCATGCAACGGAACGTGTGGTCCTCGGGGCAGGATGGGCCGCCGCATCCACGTTCCCTCCTCAAACGGAGGAGCCCCGAACCCTAACCCTCACCCACGGCCAAAGCACGGCCTAGCGGCCGCGAACTGGGCGAGCACGCGGCGCAGTCGCGTGCGAGCCGCGTGCTCGGAATGCGGAACGGGGAGAGGGCGCTGGAGAGGAATCGGCCGCCAGAACCAACGCCGAACAATGCCCGAACAATCAGAACGCGTTTGTTTAACGTTGTGTCCTAAAGATTATCAATGTGTAAACACTACTGCAAACGAAGAGCCAGAAGTTAAGGAGCGCGGGGGCAAAGGTGAGTAAGTGTACAGCGGTAGTGTGTCTTATTCAGAGCACTCTACGGAGTTGCCTCTAGTCCTCATGGAATCATCGGTTGATGTTGCTGTATCTTGTGGTGGATAATGCATTTATTTGTGATCTTCCTATCGCCCAGATTCGAGGTACCTAACCGCGTTTGGCTTGACCCCGCCAAACATTGATTGATGGTTCGCGAGTCTACATTTTCCTCCTCTTACTTATGAAATACGGGGGCCTACTCTGTGGTGTGAACGCCACCACCTCGCTTTCACCGACATGTTTCATAGGCGTGTCCTCAATCAGGGAAGAGCGCCGACGCCCTTTGGCTGTCCTCATCAAACATAGTCTATAGTCTAACCTCCGGAGCCGCCCCACCGCCCCCAACCGCATCAACCCGAAACAAATGCACAAAGTGCAGTAAGGGGTGCGAAAAAACCCAAAAGAGGTGTGCTTTCTACATAGAGCGGCCAATAGGCAAAACAACACCACAATGTTCCGAGGTCGGGGACCCAGGAGGTCGCGGTGTCTGAGGAACACTTAGCTTCTTCGCTCCTTCCTACTTCCCTCCCTCCCTCCCTCCCTCCCTCCCTCGCTCCCTCCCCTCCTCCCTCAAAAAGGGTGTTTTCGTCCAGTTCAACAAAAGTACCAGGCGCAAAACACAGTACAAAGCAGCTACGCCGTTGTTTGGAAGGCGGCAGCTGCTGTCTCTGTTGTTGCCACCAGCGCTGCTCGATCTTGGAGGAGCTGCTCCATCCAAAGCGCCGTCGCAAAGTCCGAAGCCGCGGCTTCGCCGTAGCCGTTCAAACTCACGCCGCCTCGGCCGCTCTTACCCCGACCGGCTTCATCACCCACCTTCCCGCCGCTGCTACTGTCGGCGCAATCGCCTTGGTCCATCTTGGCAAATAAGCCTCCCCTCCCCATGTACAGCTTAGGGGACGGGTTGGGTGCTAGGGTTATGGCGTTGCTCAAGGCGGCGATCGCCCTAGCAAGACCTTCCCGCTTGTGTGATCGGTCTCTAGGGAAGGGCGGCGCTTGTCCCGTCGATGATGACATCGCCCCTATCTTCTCTGCCGCCGCGAGGTTCACGCTGATCGCCGACAACGCTCGCGATCGCGCCGCCCCGGCAAGGCTCAAGGGCCCTGGAGGTACCTGAGGTACCATGTTGAGAGGGACTCAATTAGCCGGTCATCGTAAGGTAAAGACGATGTGTGGTGCGAAACGCGGCGTGACTCCTCCTATTGACACGGTCTCCCAGCCCGATTGCTATGTGTACGCGTAGCGGCGTACCTCTCTCATGCTGGACAACGTACATTATCTTGAAATCTTCTTGCGTAGCGCAGGAACGGGTGCGACATAGTCCTGCCTGCCCGGATAACGGCCATTTAAAGTATGCGAAACTACCAAAATGTGTAGCTGGCGACGTGGTCGGGTGGGTCTGAGTCGTCGCCACACCGGCGTCTAAGTTTGCCCCCCGTATCACAGAACGGTCGAGATGTTAATTTGTACGTTTCGGACGTGAACGCAAGTGCCGTTTACCACCCACTGGAATCCATCTTGGTGGATTACCGTACAGCTTGACTGGAAGAAAATGGGCCTCAACGAACGACTTCATGAAGACGATACCTACAGCGACCCTCACCTTGTTGTGATCGTTGTCGGCGTCGTACCCATTGGACATTTTAGCCGCTAGCTCGGCCGAACCGAGCTGTAGTCGGGCGTTTCTCCCTGGACTATTTCCGTGGCTGGTTGTCGCTTCCCCATTCCACGGCATGGGCCCCAGGACCGTCGCCGAGACCATCTGGGCCACGGCCAGGACCGTGGAGGGCCACCACTGTTCATGCCGATGTTGGGCAACTTGCCGAGAAATGGTGGGCTGTTGAGTGGAGCGGAACGCGACCTGGGCCACCCGCTCATTGCAAGCCAAAAGTTCTGCAATTTCTCGTGCTATCGCCTCCTGGTTGGTGTGATTTGGAAACGAAGGGATGGGACGGAACGACTCGTGAGTATGCCGCCGACTTGGTAGACGCCCCCGGCTAAACAATGTTCTCTTGCTCTACAGTACGGCGGTGTGACGAACCTTGCGGAGAGAAACACGGGTGCCTGTCCCGACCACGGCTGCTAAGTGCAAGCTGGTAAGGTTGTGGTGAATCAGGCGTTTCAGCTTCAGCACTGCACATCTCCCGTCCTGACGGCCAGACATATCCACAGTGTCATAGCTCGACCACCGCCCGTGCCATGCCCGAAATTCTTTTTGCCGATCGTCTACCATGTCTCTTTGTCCGCCAACTAACACTTGACCATCCGTCCAGCCTCCGCTCCCCTTGTGCGAATGCGTCTCACGCGTCTGCCCCAATACGTCGTTGTTCTGGCCTCCGTCAGCCATGATACCGTTGTCGTCGACATTGTCGAAGCGGAAAGCATCCGCAGGACCCTCTAGCCTGCCAAGAATGCTGTGGCAGATTTGCAGCGCTCGTCGGTAGTCCTGTTCGGCTTGGTTCCACCAACTCGTCTTCTGACGGAGGCAGCCCCGCAGGACCAGGCTCTTGGCGAGATCGAACGCATCGGTGCGCCCTCCTCCTGTCAGGAGGAGCCCTCCTCCTACCACCACCGTGGCCTTAGAGCTCCGCATGAAACCGATCGATGTCCTGGCGGCGAACGGATCATCATGTTGGGCACCATGATGTCCCCCCCCGCCGTTGCCGGCAGCATCGCTGCCACCGCCACCTGCTGTGGTAGATGTGTGCCCCATATTCGCCGCCATCGAGACGGAGGCAACACAGTGGGTGTGATTTCTTGTTCCTGCGTGCTTATTTCTGGCCGTAGCAGGCGGGGAGGGTTGGGGCAACGCATTGTCATCGCCTCTTGTCCTCTCAGTCGATGCCGAGGCTAGTGCGGCATCCCTGTGCTTGAGTTTGGCCGTACGGACGGCGACATCCGCGGCCGAAACGGCCTGATCGGCGGCATCCAAGGCCTCAGGCATGCGGCCAAGCCGCGCGAGGGTCGTTGCTCGGCAGCGCATGGCGGCGTGATGCGTCGGGGCCATGGCGAGCACGGAATCTAGGAGGATGAGCGAAGGGGAAAGTATTGCCGCTTTCGTCGGGGTGGGTTTATGTCCGGCCGGTACTGCCCCTGCCACGGGTGCTGACCCCTTTTCAGGTTGTGGTTCCCGATTCTGATTGTCGGACTTGCCGGCGAAGGTGGATGTGGTCTCGTCGCCATGCTCAACGGCGGTCTCAAGGACCTGGATCATATCGCGATAGAGATTGAAGATGAAGGAAAGGAGGCAAGGCCAAGAGTTCGAGTCTGTCAAGTATTGTCGAAAACCTAGACCAGCTCGCACAGGGTTCGGTATGCAAAATTTCCCATTTAGGGTACACGACCATCGTTGCTACCAGCATGTCACGCGTATTGGACAGTAGTCAATACAAAGGCGATGGCATGCACACAAGGAACAAAAATTATTTCTTGAGACGGTTTTGTGGCACTGATGGTGGAGTCTTACTCAAATCAACCCCCTCCTGTACGGTCAACTCATGTTGCATCGTTTGATTTTGGCAAAACCCTTATTGACTTTGCCGGACGTGCCACCTCTTCACCTTGTGTGTCACTTTCACAGGGACGGTCTTCAAGATACCGATACGCTTTGGCCGCACTGGACGGATTGTCAACGGCAGAGGATACACCTTTCGTTTTCTAAAGCGTTGACGTCATCTGCGCAGTTGTGTCTCGGTATATTACATCTACGCCCTCCTATATGGTACCCTAGACTGCATACCTCACTTGCGTTCAGCCACGCGGCGGAGGCCGTGGGGCATAAGTGTATAGCGTGCTGAAAATTTCGGAGAGCGCGTGCGCCGCCCCCGTGCTCAGCGGCGAAAGAGGCGCAGGTTGTCGCCTGTTCCAGGTGGCTTGGCCCAGTAGTGGTCAGAGCAGGGTTTTCGTCGACCTAATCGATTGTCGACGGATGAATCAGGCAGGGGGGGTGCAACGATCCCACGAGTCTGGGTGGTTGAGCACCGAATGGTTACAGGGAAGCTGCTACCGACTACTGCTCGTTGTGCAACCCGTCTGCGTACGTACGTCTTTGTGATGAAATGCCATGCCGGGGCTGGTTGTTTAGTTTCGCCGAAAAAACGCCCTATGAGTTCGCGTATTACTTAACGGCTGTGGCGGAAAATCGCAAGCCCCAACAAGAACGTTGAAGATTTCCGAAATATTTCCGTTCGCGGCTCACATTTGATTCTCCTGCTTGGGCGGGAGAATAACCGAGGCCGACTTGACAAACTTCCCCGCTTGTCGCCGCTAGATTTCCGAGACCGACTCTAATGGAAGCCGCCTCGCACGCGAGAAGTCGGGCGGAGCGTAGCAGCTTCCGCAGACGATTTCTTGCCGCCTGTTACGGAATCGCGATCGGCGGGGGGGGGGGGTTCCGCATGACAAGACGTGTGTCAGAACTACGTCTTGCACAGTGGCGTCGGGACGGATTCTCATATCGAAACTCCGGACGGTTCACATCGAGGTTTGCCCCCTCTGTCACCGAAGGCGACGCCTTTCTTGCAATGGCATTTCCCTCGTTTGACCATCGGTCGCACGTCTCTCTTTCGCAACAGGTTTACTTCGAGACGGAGCATATGAAACCTTGTCGGCGTATGTTGACAAACAGGATTGGCCATGCCGCCGGAAAGCCCGGCCTACGTCTAGGAGTTTGAATGGAATCTAACTGTTAACTCTGCTCAATGTGTTGCAGCGGGGCGGTGTCCGAGACAGGAACATAAAAGGGACCTAGAGAGTGAAGGACAAGGGATGAGGTACGCTCAACGGTACCAGAGTTTGCTCCTACACTTCCTCTCAAGCATGTCACATACGTCATCCTCGCGAGTGCTTTTGAGAGGGTCCAAAACGCCGACTCGAGAGAGGAAGTATGGGCACAAGCAAAATGAGATATATACAACACACAACGCATTTCCCCGTGTGTGTCACGAATGCCGTGCACACACCCAACCACTGGCTCGCCGCACACTGAGTCATTTTATTGTAGGCACGGCGCAAACTATGTTACCTCACGCGACGCCCGGTTGTCTAGCCGTCCATCAGCGAGCGCCCTCCCAATCTCACAGTCCAGCGTGTCTAGTGCCCCCCCGGCGAGCGCCGTCATCCCACTACCTGACGTTCCAGTTGCAGCAGGAACCACGCCGCTGTCGCTGGCGTTTGCGCCGCCAATGGTGGGTGCCTTGAAGCTTCTCAAGCTAGCCCCTCCAAGGTCTTCGGCCGCACCGCGAAAGCGTTGCATCGCAAACCGTACGAGGCCGCGGTTTGCGAGGCAGGCTGCAGGAGTGATCAGCTGCATGATTATATTCACGCAGTCCACACGAGCCGGGGTGGAATGGGCGGATTGGTTTGGGCTCGGCTGCTGCTTTTCGCAGTCGCGGAGTCTTGGACTACCAACCGCATACGCGTATCAGCATACATTTCAAGGCACAGGATGAGCAAGGGTTAGAAAGATCGGGAGCTAGTCGTAACAGCTTCAAAACTATTTCGAAGAGGTGTCTTCAACTATCCGCTAGCAATCGGGTTAGAAGGGTGTTTCTTGAAAACAGTAAGGGAGAAACACATAAATCTGTGGCGCCTCAAAGCGTGAGAAGCATCGTATAGTAGTCCGAGTCGACGCCTGGGCAGGTTTGTCGCCTTGATGTGTAACCTTGACGTCAAGATTGGTGCAGAATGTTGAAGACCACGAGGGAATGGCCGTGAAAAAGGAAAGCCTTTCTAAATGCCGGTACCAGTCAGATACCAATGACCAAACGCTAGCGTTGTACCCCGGAGAAATAACTGCACACCTTCGTGACGTCCCGTGATACACCCCCATCTGCAAGGGTGGCTATCGCGCGGGTGAACGCCGCTTCTGCCCTCCGCAGCTCTCCCGCGGTGGCCGCGGCCACGCCGAGGTTAAACGCTGCCAGAACTCGATCGATCGAGCCCGTGGATTCGCGCTCCAGGGCATCGAATTCAATGGAAGCTGCACCTGACCGAGAAGCGTTGAGGTGCACCACTCCCTGGGGGGCGGCGGACAGGGGGTGCCCTCAGCGTCGACAATGCCCGTGTTACATAGCAGGGAACGAGACGCATGTGTGGAAAGAATTGGAACCGACTGAGACACATTTTTCCTACCCTCTATTAGTTGCCCATCAAACCAAAATGACCTAAACACACATCCCACGTTCTTCGATAGCAGAGGGCTTCCGTACGACAGCGCTAGAAAATTGTCTGTGGTACTTCGAAGATGTCTGTACCCACCATGTTTATTCTCGACCGAGGATCTGCCACTTCCAAAGATGCCGCCGCTTTGTAGTCCGCGATGGCTCGGTCCCTCCGCCCTAGTCGCGCCTCTAGCTCCGCGCGCAAGTTGTAGGCCTTCGCGTTGAAGCCGTCCGTTCTTAGGCAACGCGTAACCAGCTCGAGCGCTCCGTTGAGCCCCCTCGGTAACCTCCGTCGCTTCACACCGCGGCATCGTGAGGGGTTGGTTGCTGCCGCTGTTCTCACCAGCGGCAGCGGGGACTCTTCGTCCTCCAACCTGCCTTCTCGCTGTCTTTCATCTCCAGCCCGATGTTCTTGCTGGTTATCGCTTCGGGCGGGCTGCGGACATTCTCCTTCGTCTTGTAGCACGTTGTCTGCCAAACCGTGGATAACGTTGCTCACGCTCCGCGGCTGTTGGTTGCCATCGTGCCCCGACTCGCAGTCCTGGGGACTCGCTTCACTGCCGACGTTCGTGCTTGTTGTGTCGGCTTCCTCGAAAAACGGCCTGTCGTCGTCGTCGTCGTCGTCGTCGTCGTCGTCGTCGTCGGGCGCAGGAGCATCGCCTGGGGGGGTGGCCGCCGCCACCGCGGCTACCGCCGCCGACGCTGCCGGCACCGCAGCCACAGTAGCACCAATACCTCCACTGGGTGAAAGGTGGGCTACTTCCCCTGTTGTTTCCTCTGAAAGTGTATCTGCTGCAGCCTTGTCGGCTATCCTTTTCTTTTCAGCTTGCAAACGACTGTGATAGTCTTGGAGAAGGGCAGAATCCCACGCTGCGATTCCCGTGACAGCGGGGAAGGGTGGACCTCTCGAGGCCTTTTCGGCGGCGGCGTCCTCTGCGCTGTCTTCGCTTATGCTGGCACGTGGGCCTGCTGAGCGTATGCACGTTGATATGGCCTCCGAGAGAGACCACTCGTAGAGGACGGTCGCTTGCTCGAACCCCCCCTGGAATGATAGATGGACGTGCCGGAACATCAAGGCAGGAGATTCGAAGCACTCTGCGAAGTGAAAACGTGCCGCGCTGTTGGCAACCAATATACCAAACTTTACGAGAGAGGTGGGTCCGATCAAAGGCGGTGGAGAATGTGTCTGACACGCGATACATCACCCGGGGACTGTGCAGTAGCGAATCTGGGGCTTATATCGAGATCACTTGTTTGCAAGGTCCAGGACTGGGTGGGCATGAGGGGCCAGATCACAGAATACGCCCCCTGCGCTTCGTCGGAAGTACAGCAGGTTTCAGAAAGTTGGATCAACCTTTGTTTCTGCGTTCGCACGCCATGATAATAGCATGTCTGGTGAAAGATGAAAGATTGTCGTGCTAAAGGACGTAGTTACGACGATCACCTCCAAAGCCGACTGAAAGCTTGCCGTGCACTGCTCGTCTTTTCCCAACATAAACAGGGCCCGCCCACGGAGTAGTCTTCGGATGCGCGGAGCACGAAATGTGTCAAGAACGGGCACCAGGAAGGAGGCAATTGCACACGGAAAACGAGCACCCCGTACGGGCGGGGGTCAGGAAAAATAGGGGCGTCGGAATGAAAGACGCTATCTGAGTCATCAGACAGATGAACAGGCCCTACAGTTGCTGGTTGGATAGTTGTTTCTCACTTTTGACCGCGTAAAAAAAACAGCCAGCGGTCACAAACTAGAGGGGCACTCGATCTGCAACGAAACCTACATCACATAGTAGCAGACCCGACACGGACGCCCCGAGAAGAAAGCGTGCTAAATAGCTTCCAACGTGTGCTAAAGAAATGGGTTCCAAATGGTATGGCAAAACAATTTGCTGCGACGTTTAGCTACAACCCCACGGGTTGAGCAATAGTTACAGGGACGGTCGTTGTTGGGGATGAGTCGCTACACTTGGTAGACGAAACAGCGTTCAGAAGTTTCTCGCTGTTCAATATTAAATCTGCAGAAGGACGACCCGATTATCCCTGGCATCTTTTGGCGATGCTAGTGCCTGTTTTCCGGCGACCAAACACTAGCTTCCTCTGCAGCAACTCACTACCTTGATAGGCGATAAAGGCTGTTGGTCATCCTGGGTGTCTCTCCCACTCCGAAACGGCAACGAATACACCGGGATCAACAACGGTGTTCACGCACCTCGCGGTCGAGTATCCCTCCTGGAGTGAGCGTTTGTCTATTCCGAATGGGGGTGCCTCTGACATTTGGAGCTTGTCAACCGCTGCCGCCCCGTCCTCGGCATCTCCAACCGCAGCCAAGTCCCCGACAGCACTACCGTAGCATTCCAAAAATTTCGAGAGGACCTGATCGGCCTTTCCTGGCTGCTTCGAACCTAAGTAGGAACTGGCGTGGTGTTTTGTTTTCCCGAGCATGAGGATAGGACGAACGAGATAGATGCCGGGGGAAGAGAAATGCGAAGGGAAACGGTGGCTTGGCAATAGGATGGGGGAATGCGGAAATAAGTCGCTGTTGCGTCGTTCTTGAACTATTTCAAACGGATAGTCGATGTGTCGAAAGACTTCCAAAAGAAAACAGCACCATGTAGCAACAACGGTGACCGTGGTGCGTTCACTGCAGTAGTTCATACAACCACGGCCAGCCAGCGTATCCCTGCCGTCGGTGTTGAAGCTGTAGTCCACTCCTGAGCCAAGCGTCATTTCTAGGGTGAGATCGATGTCGGTAGAAAAACAAACGGTAGCCAAACCTGGCGAGGTGATTGAGGTGCTCGATCGTCGGGTCTTTCTCGTACACCAGTTCGAAGTACGCGCTTGCCTGCCCGTAACTTCGTTCGAGCTCCTTCAATCGGCCTTTCCACCACACAACCTGTTACCAGGACAAATACACATTTAGTCCTGAAACGGTGCGAGCAGGAAAACTAATGCCTGTACTTTCCTCATCTGTCGCTGGTACGACTAGCACCATCCCAGTTACAGGGGGAAGCCGAGCTACATGGAGAAACATCCCGCCCCAGCAACGGGCCTGAGTTTACAACAGGCTACCTGCAAGGATGCCGTATCTGATATATTTTCGGTTAACACTTACCATAAGGTCCCGTAAACGTGCGTTGCAGGGGCTCCTTGTCGTACCCGTGTCAACTGAGAGGAGAGGCGACCACAGGAATCTCGTAATCATGTCTATCGCTTCGGCGGCATAGCGTTCGCCGGTCCCTCCACCCTGACGCGATCGTGTATGTGACCGTATTCGACGCAGTCACAAGGAAAGTATAAGTAACTTGGCAGAGCAAAGCATGCGTTGTTTTCCATCACGATGACTTTCACGCAAGGTTCACTGCTGATGAGGCTCGGACTATCTGAAAAGGATGGAAGTCGGCGAAACGGGGGCACCAATGTATTGCGTCGCGTTGACAATCATCCATCGCTTTACGTCGCTCAACGTCCGTTTCCCGCCGCCCGACCGTTTTCGCAAGCGAGTTATTGGGAGCATTCGCTGTCAGAATGGAGGCGCGTTACAACATAGCCAAAGTGAAAGCGTTTGCATACGGCAACAACAGCGTCACAACCTACCTCTTTCTCGAGGTGGCTTAGTCGCGAATCGAGCCTAGCTCTAAGTAGTACCGGGGTGGAGGACCATGGGCGGAGGTGCTGGGCACGAGAGTAGTCACGCATCGCCCGATCGTGTTGGCCTGCCTTCTCCGCCGCCTTTTTCAACACGGCAGCAAATAAAAGGTCTTAGCAGTTTTGACTCCTTAGAAAGCTGGTTTGATCACTGGCACGCCACTCGCGTTGTGAGTGTAGCACATGTCGTAGGGCTTGATATTAATAGTTCAACACTACATATGGAGTTATTTTCGCCTCTCAGCTATTCTGCCTTTGTGCACCAGATTCGACACTGTGCACTCTCTGATGATGACGTACACGGGTTTGGAAAAAATCGGTGTCGCATGCGTAGAAAAGCAAACATGCCATAGATACAAAAGAACGTCGGAGTTTTTTTACGGCGGACAAGAACCACTTTGCCCCTCATGCACCAACGTCCCAGCATCAATGGCATAATCAACAACGTCAGCGGGACGTACAGCACATGAAAGCATGTTTCTCACCTGCCCTCGCAGGATGAAGCCGTGGTAACTCCGGGGGCACAAAGAAAGGAGCCCCGTAGCCAGACGTGCCGCCTGCGGCCGTGAAAGAAAGTGGAAGACAGAAGATGTCCCGCATCGAGAATTGACGATAGATTGAAGGCGAACGGGACTCGGGAGTGTTTCTTCAAGAAACAAAAGAAGATACACAGGTTTTACCAAGGAGTTTTTTCCAGCACCCCGCATTTCGATGAAAAGGCTTGTGGGTTGACATCGCCCCAACCGATGAGACATCTCGCACGAAAAAGCTACAGTAGTAGATGTTCTGCCCGTGAGTATGGTCAATTGTTTCCTGCATTCAACTTGAAGGGTGTATGGGCAAGTTTGCAAGCATGAGCAACCTCTTGGAAGGCTTCTAGACTACGGTACTAAAGAATGAACGATCACGGGCGGGCGGACGTGTGTATGGTTCGTCCTGCAAGGCTCCCAGTGCAACAACTCCGCACGGCATCCACTGGGTGCCAACGGCTAATACTTGAGACGTGCCGCCAAATTCCCCGCCCATCCCTCGATCTATTCTCTTCGCCAAATTCCCCCGTCGATATCTCGATCTATTCTCGGGAGTCCCCTTTCACGCCTGTCGATTCAAAAGGTCTCACCTCTCTTGCCCAATAGTCAAAGTTTGCTTTTATTGATTGCCTGGACAATCCCTCGATATCCGTGACGGCCTGCCCTTTTCTCCCCGAACCGCTTGCACTTTGTAGAGCGAGGGACGCCGCCTTCGCCCAAAGCTTCGGCGTGTCGGGCGCCGCCGCCAACGCCTCTCGACAGTCTATGCAAGCGTCTTCCACCAAGCCCAAACCTTCTCTCGCCGCGCTCCGCATGGCATATAACTCCGCCATCGTTTCACTGCCGGCGTCAGCGGTGGCGGAAGCCACAGAAGCACCACTAGCGGCGGCGCTTCGAGTGTTCCGCTTCCTCGGTTCGTCTTCTCTCGTCGACTTGTTTCGAGGAGACCTGCCGTCGGAGTCGCTTCTCTCGCCATCGTGTAGGGAAGAGGAGCGGTCGTGACGGTCTGGCACAACTTGGTCCACGTCGGCGTCCCGTTCGGGCATGGGCATCACTATAATCTCGACCTTCGCTGGCAGCGGAGGGTTGGTGAGGTTGTTGTGCCTCGTAGTATTGTCGTCACCGTCGTCGGCCGAAGTGTTAAGAGTCCTTGGCGTGGTACGTGAAGCCATGTGTGGCCGGCCTCTCCTGTCGGCGTGGTTATTCCTTCCTGTGATTCTCCCTCTTGGACTCTTATTTCCACCACCCACAGCGCCGGAAACGGAGCCGGGGGGGGTGGCGTTGTTCAAGGTAGTGGCCGGAGCCCCGAGCCCGACCTCAACCCCGGCCGCGGCAAGCGCTATTGTAAGGCTGGCATCCGCTCTCTTCAGCAGCTCTGTAGATCGGTTCAGCAGGTGGCCGTGCTCGTCACTCGCATCATCGGCATGGTCGTGGCTCCCATGATCTCGATCCCCGTGACCATCGACACCCGTCGTTGTTGCGGTGCTCACCCTTGAGCTTGTTTGATTCTCGGGTTTTCCGCTTGTCCCAGAGTTTAACTTAAGGTTTCTATCGTGCTGAAAAAGGGCCGCGGCCATGGCTCGATGCACGGCCAGGAGACCGGCAAGACTTTCCGTATTCCACGGCAGCAGAAGCGAGGCTGCTTTCGCCGCCGCTGCAGTTGCTGCCTCTGTCGCTGCCGCCTTCGGCGCTGTTACCGCCTGTTGGAGCTTGTTCTTGGGTCCGGTGGCGGGGCATGGGGAGGGAGCGGCTCGGTGCCGGGGAGGTGAACGAGACGGAGACGGACTCGAAGCCGTCGTTCGCTCTCCGCCTGGTTTCACCGTTGGTTTTTGCTGAGCCTTTGTAATTCTCGTCTGGCCTGTAGTTTTCTTTTTGGCTTTCTTCTTGCCGGCGGCGTTAGACACTGCCGCAAGGGTCGCGGCGTGGAAAGAGTTTATGTTGTTTCCCTTGCCCGATCCGGTGCCGACGCCGAAAACCATCGGCCCGAAGACGGGAGGACCGCCCGGAGGGCTCGTCCTAGGGAGGCAAAGGTAGCAGATTGCGGCTTCCAGGAGCGGGATGATTTCCGTAGGATCTTCTCCAGCTAACTCTGTTAGATGGGCCCTGCAGCGGTTCCACGTTTTGGCACGGCGAGGGAGACAGCTGAGCTTTTCGGGCATCGAACATATGGCCTTCACCGACCGATCATCTTAGGTTGGGTTTACGGGTGGTCGTTGATTACACGTCGGGTCACATTGTGTGGGAAGAAGTTGGCACTTCGGACGGATATCCTCCCGCGTTTTTACCACCAACGTCGGGATATCGCGACAGTCCGTTTTTTCACATGAAAAGCGATGGAAGGGAGTTGGTGGAGTACCCCGCCGATTAAGGAGCATCTCGACCGGAAATCGTGAATTCGTGGTAATTCGTGGATATATATTGCGATGGCTATCAGAAAAGGGAAACGAGTGTGTGGGACAGCGGGGGAGGGTAACAGACTAAGTTACCAGGTTCGGGTGCAACTTTCGCGTGTGCCCTCCTGCAGCACCTGGTATCTCACCTTCGCTCCAGCACGCCGGGTATCATGTGTAGTACTTTCAGTAGGTGAGTCAGCAGGGTTTCTAGTTCTTTCGGTAGCTTCATCCATGGCTTCTTCTTGGTGTAGTTGGTCGTTCCTCCGCCGTGGTTGCTCCCGGGTCTTGATGTTTCGCCGCTGTTGGTTCCACCAACTCCAACCCCATCTTCTGGGGCGTCAGCGGGTGGTTTTTCGCCGCCATGAGCGTGTGCCTGGCCGGACAGTCACAAGGATAGGCTGTACCTTTGTTTTGTGAAGGGAAGACTCTATTAATATCCTCCATCTGGAGTGCGGAATGAGAGTACTTATATAAACTTCTTCGTACGAATGAGGTAGAGGAATGAAGAATCAATGGGGTGTCGCACCGTCCAGCAGGCGTTGTTCGCACCTCGATATCGACCCCAGCTTCTGCAGCGGAGACCAGGATTCCGTGCACCACATCAGGCAAACTCCTTCTGCTGCCGCCCTTGCCACCGCGCTTCATCTTCGCTCTCATTTTGTTCCACCCCCCACCGACGCCCCCCCCTCCTTCTCTTCTGATAGGGATGTTCTTCGCTTGGCAGTGGCTCTTCCAACGTGGTTTCCACTCGGCGACCAAGCTAGATAGTTTGCCTTCTAGCACGGCGAACACGCCTCTCAAACTCTACGCAAGACGGGCGTGCAAAAAAACAGCTCTGAGAGTTTGATCGTCAAAACCACGATAGTTTGACCAGAAAGGATAATCGTCAAGTTTCTACCCAACAGGCGGAGAGCATGCTTTCTCTGTCAGACTCAACATTTGAACTAGAGAGTAAAACACACGAATCACTGGCCTTGTTCGTTCTCTATTCAAGATACGTCACACCTGGCCGAACCCCAGCAGCTGGAGATGGTTGTTCGGTGGTTCGGACGGACATTACCCCCTCGAATGCGCATGGCAACTTGTAGGCTCTGAGCTAATTGGATTTACAATGCATGAGACCAATTGGACTGAATTTGATGGCCGAGCACAGAACAATTAACAGTCTCATAGAAAATGACGTGGAAAAGGGTTCTGTGACTTCTCTCGTCGGAAAAATGTTGCAAGCTAACAAACTCGCCTATTCGTGTCTGGCCAAGACGCTGGCAATGCCATGGATAGTTGTTGTGATGATCAGTGTACAATCTTGAAGTGATTGTTGGGATAACGGAAACTACAGCGCAAAAGCTTGGGTCACAGGCAACTTCATCGAATCTACCCTCTCAGGCTATTACCTACCTCTTCGCCGCTCTGAAGAATCTCCTGCCTCGTCGACGGTCGTTTTTTTATGGGTTGCCCCTCGGTGGCAGCACCAGCACCACCACGAGTACCTGGTAGATCCATCGTTTTGTCTGCTCTATCATCATTGGCAGGGCGCTGAGATAGGTCGGCGAGCTTCTCGATAGCGGTTGCGAGAACCCGAGGAGTGCGGACATCGGCTCGCCACGCCATCCGTTCGTCTCCCTGTGTTAGCCCAAACCCGATCATATCGATGATGTCAGTCGTAAGACATTGACTTCGGCCAACTGCGGGTAACTAAGAGATGAATTTATCAATGAGTGCCGTAAGTTCGTGTCGGCTCAGGAGCCAACCTCGCTTCAAGTACAGTACCGTTGCCTCAGCGGGTACGCCATAAAATAAGGGTACATATCATCTCACCAGTAAGAGCTGTAGCGAATCTATGGCCGCCTCAAGATTACAACGGTTGTCTTCGTCTGTCTTGGCGAGTCTCTCGGCGTCCTCCTCCTCCTCCTCCCTCTCCTCCTCCTCCTCCTCTGACTCTTCTTCCTCCGTCTCTTCTCCCTCTGTCTCTTCCTCCATTACGGCAAACTCTTGTTCTTTTCCAACCACGTTTGTGTGGTCATTTTCCCCTTCGGTCGTCCGTTGTTCACCCCCTTTCCCATCGTCGTGTTCTTTCCCCTGCGGTCGTTCAAGGTCTATCGAATTGTCAGACTCCTCGCCCGTCCCCTCACCCTCACCCTCTTTATTGTGTTCCTTGTCTAATCTGGCATTGCCGAGACCATCTTCGTCACCCATCGCGTGCTTCTTTTGAGGACCGCCATCGGTTTTAGGCTGGGCGATATCTCCGTGCCCACCATCCACTGCCGAATCAATGACGGGCATGGAGCCGTCGCTCCCCGCAGCAGCCACAGCCCCGACCTTCGTCGATTGTTTTGTAACATGCGTCTTCCCTTTTTTCTCCTCTGTCGTCTGCTCCTCACCCTCGGCGTCGCAGACTTGGTCGTGGCCACCGCTTGCAGGTGGAGTGTTGTCACCCTTTTCACCTCCGCTTCTAGCGTGCTCAGCCGCCTCAAGACAGCGTTGTTCCGGCTGTTGCCCTTGATGGTGGGGCTTTGTGGGAGAAGCAGAGTCGGTAGTTTCGGCGGCAGCAGCCGCCACTACAGTCGTCGCCGGCTTCACCGCGGATGCCGTCTGCTCTCCCTGTTCTTCCGTGTGGGTCTTATGTGTCCCCACATCCGATAAACCCACGGTTGTAGGTTGACCACCACTACTATCATCTTGTTGTTTGTCACCGTCGCCGGTATCGATGACGACATGTTTTACTGAGGTGGTGAGGCTGGACATCGCAACCGCGGCGGCCGACGGGGCCTTGTTTTCAGCGTCCGGCGTCTGCGAGAAACGGCGTGGAAGCACCGTTCATTCGTTGGTCGATGATGAACAATCCCGCAAAACTACGGGGGTTAAGAGAAACACCTTCATTTCATTTTCACGGGGACACCTGTGCGGGCTGCATTGTTTACGAAATTGTCCGAGAAATGTGATGCTCAACGGTAGACGGCTTTTGTGAGGTACGCGAATGCTGGGACCCTGCCGCCAAACAAGAAAATTGTCTTGGGGCATTTTCCCGTTGACCTCTTGTGGTCCCCTTGGAACTCAGGCTCTCGCCTCCAACTGGACGGCGTTCTTCTAGGCTATCGTTGTTCCATCTCGCTAGCTGATACAACTACCCACGCACCAACAACCATTGCACCATTGAGTAACCTGTGGCATCGAGATTGTGCATTGCAGTGACCGCGGGCAGTATTGGGTTTCCTGGACATACTTTAGAAGAAAACCAATCTGTACGGTTATTATCTCGTATTTCCGCTTTCCCTTCAGGTTATTCTCTTGGTTGGTGTAGCGGTCGCTCGCGTAGTAGCCCCGTCCTTTGATCTGCTCGATGAGCCTACGCACCCATATTGATAGTCACCCCGCTCCTATGCGAAAATAGCTCTTATCTAAATTTTCTATGTAGAGCACATACCTCGTGAGTAGCAGCGCCGTCCTCAGCGCCGTTATCGTTTCCTCCGCCCGGTTTGCCGCCCTGAACAGCCCTCTTTCTCTTCGCCCTCTTCGCTTTATTGCGTAAGGACGCTTGCCTTTCTCCAAAAGCACCACCAGTCCCACCACCAGTAGTCCCCTTTGTTTTTTTGTCTTTTTCATGTCGCTGCCCCATGTTTCGCGTGGCCAAGTCCGCGATAGCCACCTTTGCCCATACCGCAGCCTCGTAGGTCTCTCCCTGGTCATCGTCCTCACTCTGTACGTCTTGAAACAGGATGGAGCCCAGGTTTGGTTCGCCATCACCGCCGCGGCTTTCTCCCGCTATTTCCTGATCCCCTCCCCCCCCACCCTGCGGGTGTAGAGGGCCCGGGCGGAATCAGTATTGATCGGTACTTTTCTTTCACCGTTACAGACACTCAAAGTACGAATAGGAAGCAGTGCTAACTCACGGCTTAATCAGGTACTTCAGGATTTCCCCCTCCAACCGTTTTCTCAAGGAAATCTTACCGGATTTCTTTATCCGCATGCTTCGGGGTGATTCCCAGACTGTCATTTGTTCCCAAACGTGAGGCTAGTTCTTGCCACGTCACTCACAACGACAGCAGTTTCAGTCGAATGGGGAACTCACCTACACCCCGCCATGTTTCACAAGTCTTGTTTACGCGAGTGAGTGCCAATGTACGTTCAGGAGTGGAAGTATAGGCATTTGAAGGGACAGTCGTGGTGTCTACATTTTAGAAGCATAACTTTTACTTGTAACTGGATGGATAACGCAAGCCTGCTCCACCTGTAGGTGTTGGTCGTGGATGTGTCTCTTCACTTGTGCGTCCATCTCCCGGGCGGCAAGAACAGCGGCGGCAAATTGTCCCGTATCCTGCAGCCACTGAATCTGCATGTCACGTGGTCAGAGTCCGGACCGCCATAGCAGCATCCCCCTGTCAAGTCTTGCAATTCTTGTCTGCTGTAGCAACTCAAGGGCTGTGGAAGAATGAGGCGCGAGGGGATCCGCTTGTGTACCCCGCGGCGCAGGCGCTGTTAATATGTTTTACGGTCCGGGTATGGACAGGGCGAAGATTATCACCTCTAACTTGTACGCTTCGTGGGTGACCAAGCTCGCCACTCCGCTCGATCCGCCAGGCAATGCCGAGTGTCGATCCGCGAGCTCTCGGATCTCACGAGTGCAAACGATTGCTGCTTCCAGCTTCTCTTGTTGCGCTAAGCATTTGGCCGCCACCAGCATGACCCGTGCCCTGCCGACGGAAGGGGGGAGGGGCGGGGTTCGGCCTGATGCGAACGGTGCCTTCAGGTCGCATGCATTCACTTCCAGTACTGTTACATGCACGTTTCCGACCATCTGGTGAAAACGGAGAATCTTCCCTTTATCACACCTCCGATGGGAAATGGTGGTCGCGCAATGGTGGACATATTCACGCGGCTCTAGCTTCAAAGCTTGTCACACAGCACAAGACCAAAATGTATTTGCAAAACGGTAAGAACAAGGGGCTCTCGTTTCCGAGGGGTTGACCACATCGACTACCTGAGTCCTCTTCTGGCGGCAAGGAAAGTGGACACGACAGCAGCAAAGCTGGCCTTCGCGTAACGGCGGCGCAGGACGGCACGATTGACGATCGCTCGCCAACGTCTTTTTCCGGACAGTTTCGCCTCCTGACTTGTCGAGTTCAGCAGGCGGAAGGTAGCAAGAGTATCAGCAGGTATTACCGTTAGTTCCCGACAGACGCTGAGGCTCAACCACTGTCATTAATGGGTGACAAGTTTTAGAGTCGGCGTGCTACTCTTTACATCGATTATCCTTTCTCGCTTGCGTAGCTCCGTTCTGAAGAAAGCGGTCGGACAAGACCCAGATCAACAACAGTAGCAACAACGGTGGAGACGGGTGTAACCCATCGAAAGTGTTTCCAAAGCCAGCACAATGGAACGTTTTGTCAGGCCGCCGCACTGCCCAAAACCCCAGCCGCTGGTAGGCCATTGATGGTGCTAGATTTGCGCTTCTTCGGTGAATCCCTCACCTCCGTACGCTCCTCATCTGAATCCACGTCGTCGACGCCGACACCTTCTCCCTGCTCCAACCCCTTCAGCGCCACACGCACGTCTTCGCCAGCTTCATCCCACAGGCCCAGGGCGGCGCGAACACGCGCCCTCAACTCGCTCAGGATGACCAGCAGATGTGGTGCTTCGTTGCAAGCTACTGCCTCGCAGAGTGCTGCATGGGCGCTGGGGGAACGAGGGGGGGTTTATCCGCTGTATGTTGCATCTTGTACATTTCACCGTCGTCGGCTAGATTGGTCTGAAATGCAGTCGTTGATTGCATCCTGTTGGCGATATCGCAAGGCAAATTTCCTAAATCTCTGGCCTACAATCATTCGCATTTTTTGCCACCTGGTCGTGTTATGTTTCGGGTTCAGATATCTCCCGAACTGCTCTCACGGGGTATTCCTCTCTAAAACGTTCGAATTATGTCTTTCCTTGCACCGCCTGTGTTTCGACATAGCTCGTGAGAACCGGGTAGGTTCCCAGGGACACGGCTTTAAGGCGGGAACGGCACCGCAGTTGAATCTCACCGGTTCATGCGTCCTTTCAAAATAAGACCTCTGGCGTCCTTCAGCATGGCCCTTGCCTTCAGCCTGGCTTCACGCTTCTTTTGCATCGCAGCCATGGCCACATCCACGACTGTCATCGACCTTGATCTTCCTGTTGACCTTTGCCACGGCTTTTTCTCCGATGACTTGCGCTTTCTCGCTGAGTCGTCCTGGTTTTCATCGGAACTATTGCTGTCCGTTTTGCCCCCCTTCGCCGTTGTTTGACCCTTGGCCATTTTCTTGCCTCGCTTGGACGCAGCTTTCCTCGAGACTGCCAGCAAACAACAACCGCAGGTCATTGGTCCGGGCCAATGCCAAATCACATTCATTCCCAAGTAGGCAAGTTCTGCTGCCGCAGACATACATCTCTTGTCGCAAAAAAATTGGCGAACCCGAACACGGGACCGCTGTCACCATTGACACTGCCGAGTCATTGCAACTACATGCAATTCCTTTGGAGTCGGTCCCTTCATGATGGATTGCTGATGTTACGGTGCCGTTCAATTAGATTTTGGCCTATACTGTCCCTCTCACCGGAGTGGAGTAGTAGTTGCAGCGGCAAAAGTACGACGTGAGGATCTGGCTTCGTAAATCAAGGGTATTTCCTGTGTAGACGGACGCTTTTGTGAGGAAAGATGAAGCGCCTTCCGCAGGTACACCCAGAAAGACCCAAAGTCTTTTGTGAAAGCTCTCGACTGAGAATGCCGAGTCACACAAAACTCCTGAAACCTGGTTCATGTCTCAGGGATGAAACTCCATCAAGGTAATCTTGTCTCGAAGTACCAAGTTTTATTAGGACAAGTCGTGCGGTGGGAATCTCCGGATAGACGACCGGTGAAGAGGGGTCAGACGTTCACCGTGGGTATTCATCTCAAGCAACGAACCGCCCAGGTGGCATTTGTTCGGGCGTCCGCCAAGCCAGTCCGTCACTTGCGAAGGACGACGCGCGTGACAAGCAACTACCTATCTCGAGCATGTCTTCACGTTATCGCGTTTGCCGGGCATAAAGGAGCAAGACACCAAGCACTGGTGTCTCAATCTTCAGTCCCGTGCGGTATGTGCCCGGTACCTGTGCGTCTTTTGACCTTCCCCACGCCGTCCGCCACAAAGATCTCGCCGGCACCAGCTTCTCCGAGCATGGTCCTTTCTCTCGCAATTACGCGCGCTGGGGACGTTTGTACACCATCAGTGCTGCTGGCCGGTAGCTTTCGGTGCACGAGGATCATTGTTGATGTTGTTGTTGTGATGCGTGCCCCAAAAACAAGACAGGCGTAAGCAAGGAGGCACAAAGGAGTATGTCAAATGCCAAGGAGTAGTTCTGGAAGCCTTTTTGGCCTCATGTCAGACTGTGCTGCTTACGTCCAACCAGTGTTGCCGCTGTTCTAAAAACAATTCAAACGTGGCATTCTGGGCTCAAAGTGCATGGGACTGGGCAACGTGTGCGGCACTTCCTTGTTGATGACGGATACATGGGTAATCGACGACGTGTTGATTCTTTTCGTGATGGTACGTTTTTCCCGCAGTTCCGTTGAACGTTGCCTGCATACGTGTTCGTTCGCTTGAGGTTGACACAATTCGCCAGGGAAAGACCGCCAGACGCCATCGCTTCAATACATTGCTACGATGGCGGGAGACCGTCAGCTTTCTTCACCGCATGTGTCTAGGCAATGGTCCACGAGACGTTCCATGCTGTTGGAATTAACGGCCATTCTCTGCCCATGTGTTGCCGATACGTTGGTTGATGGTTTGTCCACCCTCCACGAGAATTGTACCATTCACTGTGACAATTCGGAAACCTGCATCACAGCAACCTAGCGTTGCGCGCGTAGCATACTGCACGCCGGAAAAAAATCATCGCTACTGTGACGGCACTCGTATGGCTCATCATGAATTGATCGCGGAAGATTGCTTGCGCACCTCACTCCCATCTCGAACCTCGTCGGTCTCGTCTCCAGACAACCTCTTTGAGCTGCCCGGGCCACCTCCGCCACCGTTTTCGTTAGACTCATCACCTCCATCGCCAGGGTCATACACGGATTGCCCCCACCTGGCCCCGCTAGAAGCGTCGGAGCTCAATCGGATATCTGCGGTCCTGACTCCACTGGGCCGGAGACGGCCACCACCGTCGTATTCTTCGGTTCGGTTCGGAGGGCGCTCGCCGCCGCTTTCACTTTGGGGGCGCAAGACATCTACCGCGGAGAGTGTCTTCATCAAAGATCTGTCGTTGTTATTGGTGTTGTTGTAATATCGTGAAGGATAGGATTGCGGCTGGTTTTGATACGGATGAATGGTCCACCAGGCTTGGTAAGATATTTTTCGAGGCAACATGACTCCGCGCTGTTTATTCGTGGCAACGTTGAATCAATAGATCCAGCGATCGCTGAATAAAAGAGTAGCGTAGTTCGAACCTCGTATCCGAATTTTGTTGATACCGGTACGTTGGCTGCCGCTGCCAATGTAACATGAAACCGAAGCCAGACAACTGTAGATGCCGTAGGCTCTAAATGTTACCGCGTGCACTCTACACAACTTAGGATTCAAAAGCATTTTCAGTAGCATCGTTGTTGACAAGTGGCGAAACAGATCTAGCATCGCAGACACACACCACAGGGAAGGTTACGCAAGAGGATGTATCCGGGAACTGGAACGAAGCAAACTCAAAGCAGCAAGATCTGACTGTTACCAGCCCTGACTGCCTCCCCCACACTGTCCTCCCCCTAACCCCAGTCTCCATCTGCAACCCAAGAACGGCCGTGGCCTGTGACCGTCAAATGACACTCTACGCATACCTCACTCTCCTCTTGCGCAGAAGAGGCGTCCGGGCTTCATCATCGCCCCCGATTTCACTTTCCCCTCGCTGGTCCAGCTTTGCGTCCGCCGCGGTGACAACCACCACTCTCTCGGTACCCGGCACGTCGGTGTTACCGTCGCCGCGGCGGAAAGCTGACAGCGAAGATGCTAGTTTGACCGAACGATGCCACCGTGAAGCACGAAGGTTTTCTGTTGGGAAGTGAGGTGTTGGCCCTGCGGGTGAGAGAAACGCGGCAAATACAGCGCATAGTGGATGCGACGCTGGGTTACTTGTTTTCTGAAACTAAAGAAGAGAGAGTGTTTTTGGCCGCCGTTCTAGGTCTTACCGTCTTTCGTGCGACGTCTTGGGCCGAGTCTAAGGCACGGGGAATACTGCCCCCAGTGTTCACTCCATTGCAGGACAACGCTGTAAACGCCTTCATGTTAGGCCTACGGCACTGGTAATGCACTGACAGTGGAGAGCACGGACATCGCTAGATTATTCCTTCACCCTTTTGTGGGTACTTCGGCTGAAAAAATCGGGTGTGTCATGTCATTTCGAGCTCACAGCGTTAGCGTTCGTGACGTGCGAGGGCTCGCCTCGAGGTGATGAGCTGTCGTGATTTGTTCTTCACGTCACGAAACGGTATGCCCACCTGCCGATATGTCCTTCACAATCCTTAGTCCTGCTATGCTGGAGATTGTTCGGCGGTTACGAGCTCGTACAGGCAAAATATTCAAGCTAATATATGGCCACATGCAGTTAATGCTTGAGACAAACCGTTCTCTTTACCCGGTTTTTGAAGAAAACTTGTGTTGGCAGCGCTAGCTACCAGATCGGTCGCTTCCGTCTCCTCCGCCGTCCCCTCAAGTCGCCATGGTTGCTCGGCCGTGGATCTTGGGGTATCCAACGCGATGAACCGGTCCAAAGAAAAGTCCCTGATCAAAAGACGTACCAGGAAATAACGTACTAGTTATGATGGTCGGCGTTTGTCTCAAGGTGCTTGCGGGTGCAGGGGGGGAGACAATGGTAAACTTGGTGAAGGTGGGGGACTGGTTCCGTGAGTCGTTGGTCTCGGAGATTATTCTAGCCTGAACACGTGCACCACGTGTCTGCGATTTGGGCGAAGAAGATAGGACAAACGTGGCCGATAGAGATAAAATGGCTAATTTTTGTAGATTTGTTGCCGGGGGGGTCAAGGGGTCTGTGTTGTTCTTCTGGTGTTTGGATGTGTGGCCTGCGATAACAGACAGAAACAACACCACTGGCATCACCGTTGCCATGACCAAAATCGCTATACGGACACCCTCGCCACGTGGTCACCACTTGGGTTAACACGCCAGTCAGTCGATGGCAACACTACAACAATCATCCATCTGGTGTGGTGCCGCTCACCATGGGTGGCATTCCGCCACACTCCGCGGAGAGCACGGACGCGGCACCACGGGCCACCTGCAAACCGCTTGGACCCCCTCTTCTCCTCTCGTTCGCACCTCATCGGACCCGTCAATCGGCACCGCAGTGGTTTCCGGTCTTCTCACGGACAGCGACGATGCTAGCACCGTCTCGGCACCAACATCGGGAACATGGCAAGACTTGGAGGGAATGCTGCTGCTTTGACGACCGCTCGCAGAGGCTGCGAGGCCTTCGGTCAGGCTTTGACGTTTTCTTCTGGCCGGTGATGCGTTGATGATGGCGCAAGTGGATGCTGGGGTCCCGTTTCTTGTTCGTTCCCCCTTCGTTGCGGCCGTTCGATGATGCCTAGATCTGTGACCCGCCGTGGCTTGACCATGCATCGGCGCTGGCGCAACCGCCGTTGCGTCGCCCCGTTGTTTTTCCCACGGCATCGGTGGCTCGAAAGAGGAATATGTAAGCTTCGTTGTTCTGGTGTCGTCCGATAGGTGCGGCGGTGGGCCTGATGGCACCCGGGGCCTTCTCGAATCAGTCCTGCTTTGCACATGTGTGATCGTGTAGTGGCATCATTTACTACTCAGCGCCCATTCTTCTTAATTCGTGCAGTATCGACCTCGAGTCTCACTAGAAATGATTATCATCTCCGTTCTACGGGACTTGAACGGCTGCGTGCAGCCCTACGGCAAGTCGTTCATCAGGAATGTCACGCGGAGCTGGCAACTACCGTTGTGCGTTGAATTCCCAACCATGGACCCAAATAGAATATCGACTACATGTACCATCGCGCCGTACCAATCCCCGCTGCATGAAAAGCTACATAGTCTACAACGGCAGGAGGTACCGTGATGTTGCCAATGTGACATGTACTCAAGTAGGATGAACGTCGCTCGATCCAACGACGAAGGCGGCGCACCAAGATCTCGTTGGCGCATGTACATCTTTCCACGCGGGTGCTACGAAGCAATCAAAGAGAAGTGGCTCAATACCTGGGCTTGTGCGGCGATAGGATCGCTCCCAAGCTGGCTCCTACAGCGTACCATGCGGAAGTCGGTGAATTCTTTCGTCGATGCCGTTGTGAGGAGGAAGGCATCGAGACAACGGCGGTTGGGGCGTTGGAACCCTGACGTACTTCCTCGAGATCGGCAATAACACCAGGCTTGAATGCTCCTGCAGCAAACGTCGACGGGACACTTGGCAGGGTGATCGTCAAGGAAACTGTAGAACTATGCGCCCGGTCCAACGTGACATTGGCCGTCTCATCGCTCGAGGAACCCTCCTCGCTGGCATGTCCTTGTGTAGTTTGCATCGTCGCCCTCTTGCACGTAAGAAGCTCGAAGCACCCTTCAAAACTCCACCTCAACCTTACTTCTGCAGCATCACATCCACCCGTCACACATTGGCCGCCCCCGCCCCATTATTGCCCGAGAGGCACGGTGTAGGAGGAGCGCTGAGTGCTTTCGATAAACCAATCCGCCGTAATCATTGGCGGGAAACATCAGCATTTATTTGTGAGAATATCATCAGGCAGCATCGCCGTCGCAGGTAAACATGTGTGCGTTGATGAAAATGGCATGCATGTAGTGCGGACAATACCGCAACGAGCCATCAATCAATCATCAATTGTTGGTGATTTTGCATGTGCCGCGTGGTCTGTAGTCTGTAGTCCAAGCTTTTCGCCGAACCGCAACGTGAAGTTGAAAGGCAGCAAGCACTACCACACTACCACTGGTGTGCTTCTATGTTTCTAGTACGAGCGGCGCCGCAGGGCTTTGCCCGCTCCTTGTCGTCCAGAGTTTGGCACACAGCAGAGCCACATACGTATGCATATCATAATTTTATTTTCACAAAATCGCATCCGAGAAGGATTGATCCAGCTGGAGTCCGCGCTGCACAGGAAGAGAAAGAAGGGAAAGCAATGCAATTGTGTGAACTGTTCATAGCAGTGTATTCATGTAGTTCAGGTTGTCTCGTCGGGAAGCATGATTGGCTCTTCTCTCTTCTCGGATGTATGCTACTGTACACAGCCTGTGGCGGTTGTAACTGCCAAATATTTTTTTTTATGGAACATGTCCCCCCTCCCGCCCTCTTCCCAGTACGCGAGGCCTCCCACACACAGCATCCACTTGCTCGCTACACACACAACCAACACCAACCGGTCTTGCGCCTTGGCCTTTCTCTCCGTGGTGTCGCTCTGGGGCTGCAGGCCGAGCGAATCTCAAGGTGAGTACGAGTTGCAATACCCTGTTACTCTTCCATGAGCCACACTGCTGTCAAGTCGTCACAGAGGGGAGAGAAAAAGGAGTCCCGTTCTTAAATTCATCAACGGCGAACTTCCGTCCGCAGCAGCAGTAGCAAAGAGCGAGCAGCGAGAGAGATCAAAGGAGAGACAGCGAAGTCATCACTCGCACCGGCATTGGCTGGAAAAGCATGCATGCAAGCTAGAGAGCGATGATCCGCGGTTGATGGCTCGCACTTGGCAATGGAAGCGGGCAGTTTGCTCGCTCCATCTCCACTTGTGTGTGTTCACATGTTCACATCGCCGTTTGTGACGCTCTGTGTTCAGGTCTGACATACGTGGGGATGCACCCCGTGGTCTTGCTCGCTAAGCGCTAACGTTAGAGCTGACTAGCCACCCCAGCAAAAGGCCACACGCAATGCGCAATCAATCAATCAGAGATAGCCCAACGCCTTGCTTGCAGCACGCAACCACCACTCACGGACGTGTGTTTGGCCCGGTGTTGAATCTGAGAGACAAAGAGGCGCGCGGCAAGATAGGAAAAAAAAATTGCTGTTGCGCGCGTCCACCACCACAGAGCAAACGACCATACACGTCTTGCGTCTCCACCATGTATCTACAGTACATCTGTGCTGCCGGGCTCTTCTGTTCGCTGTCGCTGTCTTACTTGAGGGAGCCTTCTGGCGCCCTATGCCTTAGCTACGTCATGCACGTTGAACACTTTGCACCGCTCTCTTTTTTCTCTGCTTCTTCGAAGACCACTGAACGACACCAACACGACGGTTGAGAAATTGCTCCAGATTTGTCGTACCCTCAACGGCCACGTCTCCGCTGCTGCTGCTGCTGCTGCTGCTGCCGTGTGCCCCTCCGACACGCCGCCTCCTCGACAGCGAGGGCCGCGTTGGGCGAGGGTTGATACAGTAGTTTGTGCCCAGGAGGGCCACGATGGTAATCGAAACGGCCACAGCAGCCGTACGGCGGCACAAGAAGGTGAGAACAGCGGAGTCCGCGCGTGAGCCGAACCACTACATTGTACTGTAGTGGGGTTGCGCTTAGTTAGTGTGCGCACGCCGCGTGATGATGCAGTAGCCCCAGGTGAGCAAGCAAGACGATTTGTACGCGTAGACGTGGTAATCTCTGCCGCAGCACTTGAACTGCTGCTGCTCGTGCGCACATCTACTGCTGTGCCTGCTGGCCGTGTTAAATGGTCTGCGGCTGGTACATTTTACGGGTGGTACGCTACCATATGTGCGTTCGGACACATGCAGGTGGCTCTTTTCTTCACAAAGCAGCAAGAAGATTGCATTGAATTCAACGTCAGCCATTCCATTTCCCACTGCAGTCTTGCAACAACGGAAAAAATAGCCTCCCCCCGGCATATGCGTACTCATGAGTATGAGTATGAGTACACCCATGGCACATGCGCACACAGCAGCAGTGTTCCCGTAATAAGGCCGCATAGTTCGTGCTAAGGGATTCGGCCTGCCTTGTACCCGGCACTACTATGCGAAGGATAAGAGTAGCTGAATTTTCCATCTTGTGTCACGCGATTTCACCGCCCTTACATGGGGCAACCGGCCTCTTACTGTAAATTTTAAATTTTATAACATGCGGCCTACAGCAATACAGGGACCCCACTGCTCGTCTCCTGTGCGCGTACTGTACACATAAAGAGGGAGTCAATGTGTCTATGCAGGCGGTACAAACGCAGCGGGGTTCGGTATCGATACAGACGTGATTTCTGTCACCAATCCAAATCTCCCTCTTGTTGTGTCTTTTCCCTGAATGCTGATTGATCTAAAAAGTGACTACCGTCTGTCCGCCCCCGCCGCCGTAAGGATCGTTCGAGCATCGGAACGAAGAGTTCGGACCGGGCTAGCATCGGTTCGAAGACCTTGAGCTTCCACCAAAAGAAGGGCAGGTTTGCGGCAGGGATCGGGCACAGCCCTAGGTCGGATCAGCTCGACCGGATCCGTAAGGTGCGGTGTTGGCGTCTTACCGTGACGTAAGATATCACACCCCTTGGGATCAAAGCAACGATTACTCCACAGCAGAAGGAGTTGCGGTCCCGGAAAAATGGCGGCGTTGAAGCCGTCTCGTCGACAGCTTTCCGAGAATGCGCCATTTGGTTGAGGATTCTTCTTCGTGGTGGAGTATTGTAGTCGAGCTTTGATAATCGGTCCGGAGGGAGTGGTGTCTTGTATCATCTGCCGCCATATCTCGGTGTCCAAGGAATGCATTTACTACGAGGAAAGCCCGTAGGCGTGTATGTGTGTAGCACGCCATTGTTTCCGCCGTCACTAGTTCAAAATACCCACGGAAAAGCTGCCGCTGGTATATTGCTGAGTCCCGTTTGGTCCAGCCTGCGCGAGAACAACGCTTTACCCCAGTCGTCAGATTCACGATTTGAGGGAAGACCAACTTTGTATTGTCTTCGTGAATTGGGTAGGCTTTTTGCTTGTGGAACACGCATCCCGGTATGCGGCTCTCTGGGTTATCGCCAGTTTCAACGATCGTCGAAAATTCATGCGTGCGTCTGCGCATTTTCTTTTCGGTGTACTCAACCTCCGGTCGAAACCAACGAGGTACCACTGATGTGTTGTCTGCGGGGTCCCTTGGTAGTGGGGGGAAGGGGGTGACGGGCGTATGATACGCGTTTTCTCGTGCAAGCGAGGCAATAAAGCTATGACCCCTGGGCAAGCCCAGTCATGGGTTATATTTCCTGCTCTTGCGCAAAGCCCAGCTATTGTTTTTTTCCGTCTCTTTGTTGTCGTTGGGCAGAATGCGCTCGAAGACTTCACGCGAGCTACTCACAAGAGGTCCCAATCGGTGCACCAGATGGCCGCCATGTACGCCAGCACGTCCTCCGACAAGTCATCCAACGCTGACGGAATCAAGCAGCAGCAGCAGGGAGACGCCTGGCTTCCCGGTGAGCATTCGGCATCTCGATAGCAGCAGGGGAAGAAATGTCAGCAAGTCCTGTAGTAGCCTACGGCTAGAGATTGGCGGTTACGCCAACAGTATCAGCTGTGGAGGTAAATGGCATGTTTGTACATCACCAATGAGTTATTTGGGTCTACGAACATGTGTGTGATTAGAGGTGAGAGAATGCGCCATAGGGCGTAGCAGCTTGGAGAGCTGGATGGGGGGGGGTTGTGTCTCAACTAATACGACAGCGACGACGTTGGCAAACATGGTCTGTGATGGCCTCGACACAAGCTCAAGATTTCCACGCAAAGTCAAAGTAGACCATGTTGCACTTTTTGTCCCTTTGTTCCTCTCACAGCAGCAAGTTGTGTATTCGACAATTGTTGATTGCCCCTTATAACCCTTGATCGTCACATCCTCCAAGGTGGCTCGTTGAGCTTGTGTGCGTTGAGACTTATCCCCTGACGTAAGGACGAGTTAATTTTTGGCAGTCATGCGCTCGTCACAACGTGTCCCAACGCAAAACAGCGTATGTGTCCCAATTTGTGCCATTCGGCCTATCTGTCTCTCTTTGTTATGCGGAGGGGGGTTCTCGTGTTAACGCATGCCGTGGTCGCCAGGCCATTGACCTCGCATCTCTACAATGCCGGGACGGAGCGATAAGGTAGCGGGGGGTGAACCGTACCAGCAGGTACCGATTGGGGTCACCGCGAACTGTAGCGGCTGCCGCCGTCGACGCGTGCATTCACAGGCACTGCCTCCTGGTTGTACGTATGCGTGAGTGTTTTCACTACAACTCATGACGTCAGCGACGTTGTTTTACGTCCCCTCGGCGCAGAAGGAGCGTTTCGTAGCACCGGCAGCAGCAGCAGCAACAACTCGTTCTCCATGGCAGGGGGCAACACCAAGGGCCTCGGCGGTCTCGTGAGCGCTTTTGCGAGCGATGGCGGCGGCAGGTGAGCTACCGCATCTAGAGCCTTGCGGCAAACAAGAACAAGAGAAACCGCTCGGCAAGTTGTATGTGTGAAGAAGGAAACTACTTGTGGCTCGAAATTGATCAGTACGTACCATCCCGAGGCCATGGTCAACGGAAATTGCTTGTGCTTAGGTCGTATGCACACGGTTTCGTTGAAAAACAGAAAATAAGTTGTGTGAACGACACAGGGCTACGGTCAATGCGTTAGGTATACGCCTCGTGATTGGCGTATTCTTACAGTGCTGTGAAACAGCGGAACGGTAGCGGGGTAGTCTTCAGGGACGTGACGGGGTAGTTTACGGCCGGCCCAAGCTGCGGCGGTGTTTGCTTGGCCGGGGAGAGAGATGATGCAGTTTCTAAACTTGACACGGGTAGGTGTACACCGATTGCGGGGTTGCCACTCTCGGCGGTGCTTGCATGTTAGTGCAGAAGCCGGGGTTCCGCCGGGAAACCCGGCGCTATAGTACCGTGGGGTAGTCAGTTCTCACGACCTGGAAGTGCTGAGGACGGTGGTGAATCGAGTGCGCCCTGACTGCTTGAGCCAACTATCGGACGTACCGGCGGACGGCTTGATTGGATCTCTCTATCACCCTGGACGGGTTATTTTTGGCGTTCACACGTTCGGGTCCATTTTATTTGGAGTATACCCTTTTTTTTGGTAAGTTTGCCTGTGACCACTGGAATCGCTCGGTCTAGTGTTTGATCGGTACGCACAGATGCGGTTTCTTTATGTAAAGACAACAACGACAACACTGCTGCTCCCCTCTCGCGTTGTTGCGTTAAAACGCCTGCAACAACAGATCGCTGGAGTCGGTTGCCTTGGAAGCGCAAGGCGAATTGGTGAGTTTTTAGTCCATCCAACTTGAGTTATTATCGCGTACATCGTCTGTTACCTATTGAGTTGAAGTCGTCTTTATGTTCTGGTTGCTGCTGTGGTGGAGCTAGCAGACTCAGCTGTCGATGGCCGTCGGCTATTAATAATGCAATAGAGAAAGGAAGGTTTATTTCGTCAAATATATATTTGAACAGCTTCCGAGAATTTGTCGTTATTCGGTCGTGCTTGTTGCTGTTGTTGAAGGACGCTTGGTGAACGCTTGACTTGTTGTGCCTTAGCATGTCGTTTCGGATTATGGCGAACAGCAACCTAAATCGTGTTCGGTACGTAGGGTATGCGAGAGAAAGACATGAGGTAAGGATACCTTTCGCTACCTCTCATTGGGCAGCTACCAACCACTGTCTCGGTCGATGCTTCGATACCAACCGCCGCTTTCCCTGTCGTTCCTGATTGGTAACAACCAATCCCGTCGCTCTCACTTTTTCCCCGTGAAGAGCGAGGAGGAGATACCCGCCATTCGTGAGGAGGCAGGAGAGGAGCCACAGTCCCTTTCGCCACCGCCGAAGCTGTCAGAGCGGTCTCTCTCCCAACCGAATCCTGAGGTGCGTGAGGTTCTACAGCAACTGGGAGAAAGTTTGTGCACCACTAGTATACCGTAGGTGACACGAAATAATGTCGTCTCCGCTTTAGCATCACTCCCCGCTTCAAGGATACCGTGTTTCCAGAACCATGGTGCCCCGCAGGATGGGAAAAAAAAATGGGGGGTGGAGTTTTAAGGACACTTCCCTGCTTCAAGGACACCTTGCTCGAAGCAAAAACACGAGTGTTCTTACAGAGGGGACAGTTTTGTATGATTGTGCATCACCATCAACATGCGACACGAAGCGATCGTCTTGCTCTCCCTCGAAATTCAGAAAAGGCTCTCTTACCCTGGTGTTTATGTACTCAGGTCAAGAACTAGTGCCGCCGGCGCGAGGCACTAGAATACGCGCCCCACACGACACACTGCAGCACCGGTAGTGTTGTACTTTTTGTATTTCCCCGTTGCCGAAAGACGGGTGATTTTCATTGCCGCGCGTAGGTTCTCCTGTCAATATTGCTACCTGAAAAATATATTGGTCAAGAGAGAGACAGAGAAAGAAAGCAGGCCTTGCGAAACCGACAGCATTCGTATACTAAACTCCCCCGACGAACCGGTTTCAGAATGAAGACCGACGCACTACTCACCAAGCGGCATAGAAATTCCAGTTAATGACAGGGCCCTGCATTGAAGAAAACATGAGCAAACTGTTGGGACGCAACATGATTGTAATACAATGTGCACTGGAAACTACCCTCTGCATTTTTCGTAGGCATGGCATGGCTTGCTTGATCCAAGAAGAGAAGCCGCCCGTTGCAACCAGGGTGTCAAACATTCGCCTGTGCTGTCTCTCCCTCTCAATTTCTCTCTCTCTCACAAACTCTATGCGTAAACATGGACGGTGTCTGTGTGTGTTTTTTTAGAATCGGCCGGGTGAAAGACCTCGCTCACAGGCACCGTTGTAAGATTTCATGTAGATCGACGTTAGGTAATAGCTCGATTGCTCCACAACTAATAGGATAAGGCTACCAACGCCCAAGCGGTGGTTTTGGACTCATCTCGTCGACAGGTTTCCTTGCACGAATCGGTTCGTACTCGCACCCTCTTGCTTGTGGATTATCATAAGCGTACCCCCCTCCCCCCCCTCCCCTCACCTTGTTGAGGCCCCGCCAACCCTGACGTCACGAATGCTTGCGCTTCTTTTGTTTTTTTTTTCGTTTTGCGCCGCCAACCGGAATGACGGTTTCATTTGACGTCACGTGATGCCACCCCGACCAGGCGACGAACTACTCCGTCTTCAGCAGCACCTCGGACGTGCGAGCTCGGGATCTGAAAAAGGTACAGTATCTACAGTCCGCTGAGGAGCGCGGTCAGTGACCACTGACCGTTCCTTCGGCCACATGTTTTTATCGCCGGCAATGTCTCAAAAGACGATTCAAAGACGATTTTTCATCAGCGAGCTAGCTGTATGTCCTTGCCTTTCTTTTTTTTTTTCAAGGAGGGGTTCGGTGAGCAGGGTGTGAAACATGCGATGGTTATTTGCTGCCGGCGTACTGTACCTCCCCACGGGCGAAAGGCGTCAAATATTCCTTCGTTCTTTTATATAAAGCGAATGGATGACCCCCACACATGGACCCGCTGGTACCATCTATCACGAAGCAGTGTACTACACTCTGCGATGGTGTGTGTCACGTGCGCATTCGATACCAGTATTGTATTTTGTTCTTGTTTTTATTTTGTCGGTCTTGGGGACGCCATGCATGGCACACTTAAGTTGTGTTCCGGATTTTTCGCCAAAAAACGGCGTTTCTCCTTGTGGCGTGCGTGACAGACTCATCTGGACGAGGCGCGCAACCTCACCAGCAACCGGGCCCGCAAGGTCAAGGACATCGCCAGCGGGTTCAAGGGCGAAAGCAGGCAAGCTACAGGAGTCAATCCCTACACAGCAGTATGCCATGCATCCGAACCAAGAACACCTGTCCCCAACCCTGACCCTAATCATCTCCCCTTTTCCGAGGATTTTTTTCCATACCCGCCTTTTCTTCTCTTGGGCTACGTGCTTGTCTGGCGGGTTATTTTGAAGAGGCTTGCTCAGGTGTCATTTCTCGAAGTTAGGTCTGGATTGCGTCCGCCACAACGTTGTTTTCGGGCTTTGAATATACATGTATGCGCCTACCGTGGGTGACGCAAGATAACACACGCCGTGAATGGATTTTGAAAACCCGGTTACTTAGCACCGCAAAACAAACGACGGCGACAAAACTTTGGCATTGTTTCGTCGAGAGATATCCGAAAAATGGTTTTCTTGTGGCATCCTATTCTTTCTGGAGTAGTCGAGGTTTACGATCAGAATCGGCCGAGGGGTGTGTAGCATCTTGTTGGAGAGCTATGGTAAACGGTTGTTCTACATTCAGGGAGTCCTAGTGTCCTAGTCCTTCTCTCTCCCCGCTTTCCCTGAACACGTTATTTGTGGGGTGATTTGTCCATCCGCGATCCGCTGACCACACAAGCCGTTTCCCACGGTAAACCCGCGGTTGTGTGATAAACACAACCTCATTATATGATGTGTATAAATACCCTGCTGAGTCTCTGGCTGGAAACACAGATGCTCCGAGTCGTCTCTATATGTGCCATATGATCCAAGTCGTGGAGTTTTGCTGGCGTAGGACATGGTCAACCGGGATATGATATTTGCAGAGTGGAAATATCGTGAAGTGATTTTTTGTGTGGATGTATCCGTACCCTTGTGGATTGCAGGCCCGAAAATGTGGAGGTTTTCCACAAGAGGCACAAGGAGCAGGAGGCTGACTACCGTCATAAGGTGCACCAAGGGAAAGAGACTCTCAAGAAGACCTCGCAGGTCTGTTGCGTGCCGCTGGTCTTGGTGCTGCGCTTTTCATCAGCGTTGACGCTGCTGCTGCTTTGTATTGTTTGGAACCCGGTTTCCAAGGCTTCCCATTGGCACCGTCTTGACACGCACGACAGCGTGCTTTTCTCTCCTACAGCAATTGGCTCTGGTACTATCGCCGTTGTCGCTGTTAACAGAGGTGGTGTTGTCATTGCTGTTGCCCCATAAGATTCCTTGATGGTCATGATGTTCTTGTTGTTGCCGCACGCGATCTCGACCAGTATTCCTTTTCCTGTCCTACAGCAGTAGTTGGTTTTGTCCGCTGCTGCTGCCGTTGTCCTTGCTGTCTGTCTCTATTGGCGCTGTGCTTGTTGCCTCTGTTGATGGTGATGTTGTTGTTCTTGCTGCTGTTACTCTGCTGATGACGTACAGGGCACCGACGCCATGTACAACTTCGTGCTGAAGCTTAACCTAGCCACAACGGAGGGCAAGGAGCGCTTCATGAAGAAGTGGGCCATCGGCAGGATCGCCAACGGAGAGTCGATCAACCCCCGCGAGGGCTGGAAGTTCTTGAAGAGCCTGGGCATCGACGTGCCCAAGGTTCGCCAGCTCTTTGCTTTGCGTCGCCGTTGCCCCCAAGACGACGTGAATTACGCTAGTACTTCGTCAAGCAAGATCGAAACCGTATGCAAACGAGTTAAAGCCTTCTCCCTGTTTATTCATCCCCTCGTTAAGCAAGAAGGAATCCTCACGAGTTGGAGCTTCTTCTTTTGTTCATCCCCTCGTGATTATTGCCACGAATTTTAACGTCAAGCATCCAACCCGCCGCTTCTCACACTACACACCGCCGTCCCCGTGTCGCCGTTGTCTCTCACTCGTCGCCATGACGAGCAGCCAAGATCGCCCAATGCCGCCACCGACTTCGCAAGGCCGGGTTCCCCGTCTGAGAAAGATATCACCACCGCCCAAAGCGCCCCCAACAAGCAGACGACTACCGGCATGATCACGCCCGCCGCCGCCTCTCGCGGGAGGGGACGGACAGGAAACACCCCCGCTACCGCAGGCGGTTACGGCAGGCCCGGAGGCGGCGGCGGCGGCTTCGCCGTCGGTGACGCGGCCAAGCAGGAGTCTGCCGCGTGGGAGGTGGCCATGTCCCAAGCGGTTGGGGCGGTGGTGAAGGTCGATGCTGACGCCTGCGCCCCTAAGCTTGGATTAGAGTGAGTGGTGTAAGGAGGAAGTTGTGGGGTTGTTGTTTCTGGTGAGTGTTGCGGTCCCGAAATACCTTCATGTAAACAGCATCTTCGTGTTGACCTATAGCCGATTCCACTTTTGATTGACGTCTTTATTGACAGTGCCCCCTTCATACGCAACCCCCCGA